CCGACGCGAGCGGGCGAACGGCTTTGTTTTACACACCTCCGTGCCGAACACTGGACTCGGACGTGCCACTGGAATTAACCAACCCACACCGCCTAACCCGTCTGTCACTCGTTTTCCGTGTTACCACCGAGGGGAGGGGGTCAGGGAGAACGGCTTTTAGAAGCAGCTCGCGTCCAGGAGTTCCTGTCGAGAGTTGACGAACAAATGATTTTTTTCCACCACCGAAGTCTCCTGCCACCTGCATGGGGTTTGGAAGATCTTGGTGTTACTACTGTCCCGAGGAGGGAGGCAGCCTGTGCAGAGGAAAGGTTATCTCGTAGGACCTGTGTTTTTCCTCTAGAGTTGTCGTCAAGTGAAGCGTAGCAGGATGAGATTACTCGTGTATATTATGTGTCTGTGAACTAACTCCATCTGTTACTGGAAGCTAACTTACTATCACGGGGGAAACAGAAGCAATACTGCAGCGTCTTGGCACTCTAGCTCACTAAGGTGTACAGTTTGTACCTACCTACACCTCTTTGCATGCATCTCGTTCACAACGCTTACTTCGGATTTTTTTATTGTTCTTTGTGTTTTTACTCCGGCGTAAACTTTTAAATGCAGCTTGTTCTATGTTTAGTTTTGTTCGTGTAAGAAATTGTTTAACTCATAACTGACAACTGTACTTGTAATTACGACGTGATCGACCGATATTCCTGTACAAATGTTGCTTTTTTAAAATTAATACAGTGCTGATATGGATGGATTACATCCCAACTTAATTATGGCTTGTGTGGTTATTTCTAGACAGCTTTCTTAAATCCAGGCTCTGTAGGGAAGGGCACAGAGAGCTCCGTTCCACCTGCTCCAGGGCGCACAAAGTGGTGAACTAGGTCCTGCTGACGACGACTAGACACTTGTACTGAAACCTCCGACACCGATCGTCACCAACAACTCGGAGAGGGAGCTGCCGCCCTCCAGAAGGAGGAATTTCAGGTGTAATCGCCCCGTAGAACACTTCTGCTCTCTGGATGGGTACGGACCGGGACGTGCCTGCGCGCGGAGGGGTTTCCATAGCCCCGTTTTGCTCCTGCTCGACCAACCTCTCCCTCAAGGCCTCAGAGTCCCGACGCTCTCGCGGGCAGGACTCTGCTCGTCGGGGACGACCCCAGGCACCGGCCACAAAAGGTTTAAGGGCGCAGCGAGCTGGCGATTCCTTTTGCTTACCCCGACCCTGTGGCTTCCTCTGCAGCCGGCGCAGACCCAGCCTGCGCGAGGGG